TTAGTACTTTCAACATTAATAAATCCTCCTGAAACAAAACCAGATGGCTTGCCATACACCATTGAAGGTTTGTTGGCAATCTCCTCTTTAGACAAAGGGTTATACTGATATGTATGATTAAAAGGAGGAGGTACATTCTCGTATCCTAAACCCTTTTGCTGGTTTCGTTTGAACTGCAGGCAATGGTCAATCATGTTGGCAACTACCTCGCTTGATACATCAAACCTTTTAAAATCAAAATTTTCAGTTTCAAATTGCCCTTTTAATGTATCAAGCTCAGTAAGTAACTCAGCATTCTGTCTCTTGATATAATCATAATGTACACATTTGATACTGTAGTCTTCCTGAAGTCTCCTAAAGTCCTTAATTTTTGTTTCTAACTGGGCCTTTAGGGGTTTTTGTCCTTTTCTAAGTTGATAGCCCTCATATCTAAGGTCCTCTACTTCTCTACGTAATGATTCTATTTCGTCACGAAGAGTTTTAACATAATCAATACATGCCTGAGAACAAGAAGGTAAACTTACCTCACTTTTCTTGGGCTCGGAAGTAGAAGATACCATCAGTGCAAACTGCAGCTCCATCATCTTTTCTTCAGGATCAGCTGCAACATTCTCCATGGGAGCATCATCATTGACTTGGGCCAGGTAAGCATTCTCAGGTCTTGAAATGTTCAAAGCCTGAATCTGGTCCTCCCAGTCAAATGACTGAGCAACCATAGCAGTCTTACCGTTGACCACAACACCTCCACGATTGTTTCCCATCGCAACCATTGTCCTGTCATTGTTCAATCTTCTATCTGGCTTCGGGCACTCACGAGCAAAATGACCGGGCTCGTGACAGTTGAAACAACGCAGCTTCCCTTTGTTGAACCCCACCTTTTTATCAACATTCATACCCTAGTTGTTCTTCCTAGTCTTCTTGGAAAACTGCTTAGCCCTGAATACTGCCATAGCTATCTGCCATGTGATGTCCATCTCTTTCACATCTTCTGGATGAATCTGATCCAGATCAGCAAATGACAGCTGAGGTGGAAGCTCTCCAGCAACAAAAGCATTATAGCAGTTCACTAGTCCTATGGCGAGAGTAAGATTGTCATCACTTTCCTTTGTGTTTGAGGAAGAGGCTACAACTGGCACATTGGAGGAGGGAACAACTTGTGGAGTGACAAATGACTGGCTTTGAGAATGAGGCATGGATGAAGCAGTAGTAAAGGTTTGAATATGAGGTTGTTGAACAGTAAATGCTTGACCTGAGGAAGAAGTGATTGATGAAAGGGCATTGTTAGAAGAAATTACAAGATTTGTAGTCGAATACGAGTTCACATGGTTAATCTCTCGATGTTTATTATCAATATCACAAGCTTTGATGATCGCCATTGTTTCAGCAAGAGTGAGGCGCTTCAGATCCTTGGTCTTCTTAATAACAGCTACATTCATGTCCCATGACTTTGGAAGAGCATTCAGTAGCTTTTTATCTATCTCGGACTTGGTCAAGAAGATCCCAGATATGTTCATTTCAGTAGTGAGAGTTGTGAATCGCTGCAGCGGTGCCTCCAGGGTTTCTCTGGGAATGTAGTTAAACATGTTGAATTTCTGTCGTAACATATCCTGGCGGCTTTCCTTCATGTCTTCATTTCCTTCATACACCTCAATCAAGGCTTCCCACAAAGCTTTAGCTGAAGTATACTCTCTGAAACCCTGAGCTATATCAGGAGATAAAGCCATGGTCAGAGTGGCCAAAGCCCTTTCCTGTTCTTCAACTTTCTCAAAATCTTCATCTGTATAGTGCTCAAGTTCTTTGTCAATCACTTGTCCTGCAACAGTGATGGTAATTCGGACAGGACCCCTGATGATGCTTCTCCAAAGTTTGAAGTCTTTCATTTTCATATACTTCTCAAACCGGTATTTCCATTCAGGAAAACCATCTGCAGACAACAGTCTTGGAATACGTGTGGTTGTGCCCATGACAGTATCCAGTTCATGATGATGTGTTTGACTTTGAGAATCCATTGATTATTAAAATTTAAAACAAGAAGAATGTCAAAACTGAGTTTCCGGTCAAGGAGTTTACGGCCGTAAACTGAGTTTACGGTCGGATTTACGTTCTGAGTGTTTACGGTTTTTGAAGCTTAGTTTACGGTTATTGAAGATGCTTTGTTTACGGTCCAAGAACACAGTTTATGGTCTTTGAATGTTCTTGAGTTTACGGCTGTAAACAGGGTTTATGGCCGTAATCTCTTGGCAGTAAACTCCCAGAAATTTCAGTAAACGCAGATTTAGAGCATATTTGATCCCTTTAGCAACGAAAACACCAAACCCAATCTCGAACAGTGAAGAATATGAGTTTAAACGGCCGAAAACTCGATTGAATGATGCTTTGACACTGGTTTTACTCTGATACCAATTGTTAGGTCCTAAAACGGATCTTTACCAATGATCAAGCAATCAAAAGAAACTAGAATATGAGTAGAAGAAGAGAAATCAAGCTTGCACACGTTTATTACTGAAAAACGTCTGGTACAACTCGATATACTTAGCCGTGAACTCTGTGGCATCAACAACCAATAATGACCTACAACACCTCTATATATAGGGAACTTGGGCTGGAAACTGGGTTTACGGCCGTAAAGGGGTTAACAGCCATAAACTCACTACAGGGCTGTAAACTCACTAACAACCTACCAAACCACAATAAAGACTCAAAAGAACTATTACAATGAAAGCCTAGACCAAACCACTAACTGGACCCTTCAGGCGTGGCCCTGAGAATTACACTTGTCGCTCTAGGAGACGACTGGTACTGTTTTGTCTCTGAGTTGGCTTCAGTGCTTGGGCACCAAGGAATAACCATGAGATCATGAGGGCGAGGTCATGGTCTCGACGCTAGGCATACATCGATCCTTGACTACCACATTTATTAGACACGAGCTCTGTTACATTTGACATATTCTTAGTGGGATACGTTAACAAGTCCCCTAGGCTAGTAGACGTCAGCGTTTTCTTAGGGTAGCAGAGTTGTTCTATCTTAGATCTGGACATACGTTCGGTTGAGATGGATTCCTGATGGTTGCTGACGTGACGGAGGCGTTTGTGCTGACATTTTACATCATTATAGCCGCTTGGGCTTCCCGCCTGCATATAAAACTCACCTTATTTGTGTTGGTTTCCTTTTCTTCGCTTCTTTCGGCTTCTGCTACTCCTTCTTTCTTTCTGTTGTTTTCATTTTCTCATTCATTCTCTTCTTTTCTTGTCGATGAACAATGGCTATCCAAAACACCAGAATTGTGCCCCCTGCGAGTGAGTTTGCCGATCTTCAATAACAGTTCAACTTTCTTCCCGAGCACGGTGTGGAATACCCTCGAAAAGGGGTTATCATTTCTCGTCCACTGGAGGGGAAGTTCGGAGTCCCCATGCCGATCTTTGGTAGGATAAGTGGTTGTGGGTGAACCGCGATTTGGTCGGCTTCGGTTATCCTCGTCAGACCAACTTCACTGATCGGATTCCCGCTCTCTTGGGGGGCGGGCACCGAAACCGTGGCTAGGGCGTTGAGAACCATTTCTTTCAACAGGGAGGACTGGGAGGACTGTATGATGGTGGGCGTCGGTATGAGTGCTGCCTGGAGGGCGCGGAGGATGATGCCTCAGTTCTACGTTGAGGGGGATGGTAAGTACCTTTCATTCTCCCACCCCCCTTTGATTCTCGTCTTCCTGTGCTTGTTTGTCCGTTGTGCGACTGATAATTCTGCCCATGTCCCTAACTACGTTGGCTTGGATTTTATTTGCAGGTCGTGAGAGGGTCATTCCCTTCGAGATGGTGCTGAGGGGACGCTTTCAGGGCACCTGTCAATACCCGGAGGTTCCCTTGGTATAGACACTTCCTCCACCGGTCAGTGTCGACCGTGTCCTGGCTCTTGCTGGTTCTCACGTCGCTTCTCCGCCCAGATCCAGTTCCTCTATCGATCGAGCGCAAGTTGACGCACCTGTTGGGGGAGCCTCCCGCGATGATCCTTTGCCCTTCGATCACAAAGAGGAGCCACCGACTGAGTTGGTGACAAGGGAGAGGTGATCGACTTCCAAGCGGCGGTTGGCTTGGTTGGATTCCCATTTTATGAAGGATGCCAGTGTTGGTTCCTCTATTCAAAGTCTTCATAATAGGCGAAATGTAGACTTCCTTTTGGGGGAGTCCGGCGTTGTTATGGACATTCCCGATGATGACCCATCGAAACTGCCGGAGGGAATGAGCAAAGAGGAGATAGAACAGCCTCGTGAAACCAAGAATGAGCCCAAGGATGCTGCCACCCTTGGGGGGTCTTTGGGCGGGATTTAGATGACATGTCCTAAGATCCTCCCGATCTAGCTTCAGTCTCGGCAGGGGAGGGTGTTCTTGCAGTTTCTTCCGCTCCTACTCTAACGATTTCTGTCATCTATGTGTCGGAGTGTGGGCTTAAATGAGATTCTCTCTTGACGAAGCATTCTGCTACATACGAATGGAGCCGTCATGCCTTCCCTCCCGCTACAATCGAAGCTTTGGAACTCCTTTCCAACTCCCATATGTCTAACAGCCTGCAGTATGCAGCTGCTCAGGTTGCCCCTACATGGTTGTTGCTGCTCGACGCCTTCGCCAGGTTGGTTTGGACTCTGGAGAGCTTGCCTCCGTAAGGGCCGAGCGGGATGAGTTGAGGGCGAAGCTGCTGGATTTAAAGGAGAAGAAACACCGATTTGAGGAGCGTTACGATCTCTTGGCTGTGGATAAAGCATCTTTGGAGGAGAAGGTGGTAACTTTGGACGGGTCGGTGGAACGTTTTTCTCAGCGAATCAAAGTCTTGGTAGAGGAGAAGAGGGTGCTAGAGGGTCAGGTGGAGGAAGTCAGTAGGTAACAGGAGGAGGAGAGCGTGAGGAGGAAGGCTGTGGAGGATGATCTGAAGTGGCTGCTTCAGAAGGGTATCGTCCGGTGGTGGACTAGGTCGTTGAGAGCCCCAACTTTTCCCTGGGTGTAAGGCGTATGAAGGCATCCTGCATGGCTATCGAGGTTGAGGGTGGTAAGCAGGTGATTAGGGAGCAGATTGTCACTGGTAAATTCGTTCCTGGTGAGCCGAGCACCCTTTTGGAGCATACTCAGGCGATGCATGCAGAGGTGAAGCCTTTCCTGGAGACTGACTTTGCCTCCTACCTCCATCTTGGTGAGCTTGACATAAAGGGTCTTCATCAGCTGTGCATCGATTCAGACGCCAAAGGGAAACATCTTGAGGCCAAAACTTATAGGGCTCAACCTTCTTCCACTCCTCCTGGTATGTTACTTTTATCCTCTTCTCAGTTGTTTGTGTTGTTTGAAGCATTGTTTAGATTTGCCCGGTGTTTGTGAGACAATGTCATTAGATGGTATTTGTATTCGTTTTAGGCCCCTGCATGGCATTTCTAAGTCCGGGAGCTGTCCAACATACAATTTTAACTTCCTTACTTTTCAATGTTATAGCTCTCCTTATTTTATCGCGTTCTCTTGTCGTCCCTGGTGGTTTGTGTTGGCCACCCCAGATTTGAATTAATCTCGGAGGTTGATGTTGGCCTTTGGGGCAGCTGTGCTTTTTTGGTTTCACATTGAAGGGGCATCAGTTGTGATTCCTATTTTTTGGTAGATTTGTTGGGCCTGGAGCATGTTTTAGCCCGGGAGCTCACTCTGGTGGGGTTGGTGTTCATCCCTTTTTAGTGTTCTGGGTTTATCCTTGTAGGATCAAGGCCCTGGTTGGCCTTTGGTTATGAACTCTGGCTGGTTCGTTGTAACGCCCTGTTCTGAATCACTACCCGTTTGGGTGTGGGTGATGGTATGTGGATGATTCGGGCATTCAGAGTTAGTTTTGAAGCCAAGAGTATTTTGGTAATTTGTCAGCTCGGGCTTTTATGGAATTTGGATGTTTTTTAGGGATATTGTAAGGCAGGTATGAGTTGTTTGAAGCATAGAGCTTCTTGTTACCTTTTCATGGATATAATGATGGTCAGAATCGGAGTTGTATCGAAGACGTTATGGCCTTCGGAATGAATTAGGGTTTGAGGGTAGACCTTAGTACACGGGGAGTATAAAGAGAGTACGCGGGGCATACTGGTGCGAAGGGCTCTACGCAGTGCATAACAAGGAGTACGCTTAGCGTACTGCGAAGCTGGGATTGGGGTGCGAGACCTCGTACGCTGGGCGTACGAGGGAAAGGATGAAACCCTAATTTTTAAGGATGTACCCTATATAAGCTTTATGTTAGTCCCTTTGGTTCATTTCTAAGCTAGCCTCATACCCTAGAAACCCTAGATCTCCCCTTTTAGCCTCTTAGTAGTGTTCTTGAGCTCTTAGAAGGTTTTTGGTGCATATTTTGCCCTTGGGAAAGAAAGAAGAGAAGCTTGACGTTGTTTGGCTTGGTGAAGGGGCTTTGGATCCAGAATCATCATCTTGTGAGGATGATTTTTGAGGTATCAAGTTTGCATCTTGGCTTGTGTATGATTAGATCTCTTCATGGCTAGCTTACGATGATTTTGGTCTTCTTTTTGAGTCTATGGATGAGTTGGGATGTTTAAGGGCTGGTTCTTTCAGATTTGAGTTGTTTTGGAATCCTTGAGCATAAAGGTGCAAGATTTATGTGAAGAATAGTGTCATTCATGCATTAAGTCAACCATTAAGTCCCTTTTTAAGCTTAAGAGCTTCATTTAGTCATATATGGACGTAAAGTTGGCAACTTTACGTAATAATCCAACTCAAGGAGGTCAGATCTGTGTTTGGGAAGCTTTGTCTTAATGGATTAAGTGAAAATCAAGTTTGGGATGGATAGGGTGAGTATGCTGGGCGTATAAGCAGGTACGCGCAGTATACAAGCCTCCAAGCGAGTACGCTACACGTACGTGTTTGTACACCCCACGTACTCGGTCTATTGGACTTTAAGTGTTGGGCTTCGGTTTCGGCTACCTTTTTGGGCTTGGTTGTTTGGGGCTTTGTTGGACCAGTTGGGAATATGTGTTTTGGATCAGAGGAGTTAATGGGCTTTAGGGTAAGGCCCATGTAAGGGTTTGGGACCAATTTGGAAAATTGGGCCATAAGTGGGCTTTGGATGATTATTGGGTTGTGGGCCTTTATGATGAGGAGTTTGGGCCTTAGTCTTGGACCAAACTAGGTGGGGGTAAAATGGTCTTTTTACCCTATATATGGATTATTTGATTCAGTTTGGAACCCAATTATTAATTGAGTGTTAATTGTTTGATAGCGCGGGGATTCTAGCAGATCAACAGTCATAGATTTATTCGTGGGTTCAGCTGTCGAGGTGAGTCTTCTCATTATATATATGGGTCGAAGGCACCAATGCCGACCCATTATTCGTTATGTGGAATTCTAGTTGTCTCTGTGATGCTTGCATGAAAGACCATGGGGGTAGCCCATGGCACTTGGATATCAGACCATGGGGGGAGCCCATGACATTTTAGGTCAAGACCGTGGGGGGAGCCAATGACACTTGGATATCAGACGGTGGGGGGAACCCATGGCATTCTAGGTAAAAACCATGGGGGAGCCCATGGAATTCCAGGTAAAGACCATGGGGATAGCCCATGGCAACTATATGTATGTTGCATGATATTTTGTGGTTGTATGCTATGTGGTATTTTTGGGGTACTCACTAAGCTTTGTGCTTACGGTTTTCAGTTTGTGTTTCAGGTACTCCGGTTTTCAATTGGAAGAGCTCATGATGATTGCAGAGCACACACCACAAGTTTCCGCTTTCTGTGAATTACTCTGATTTGAGGATGTTTTGTTAAATCTTGGTTACCTCGGTTTTATAGGAAAGATATGTATTAACGATTTATTAATCTAAAAACAAAAATTTTTATGTCATGATTTTTGTTACGTTACAAGTTGGTATCAGAGCCTTGGTTTGAGGGATTCAGACATACTCTCGGGTGTGTCTGAACGCAAACTGAGGATTTGGTAAAGTTTGCAAAAGAAAACTATTTTAAGAAAAGTGTTTTCTAAGATTAGAAAAGGGGGTGATGCATGCAATCACGCGAGCTCAAGTAAGTTTTCCCAAAATACCCATACATGTTATCTGATATGATTTGATTTATGAATCTGTGAATTGCATGCTAGTTAGGGCTAAGTATATGCTCAGTTTTTGCATGATAGAATGCTAGGAGAGATGCCTTTGTATGTTTATTGTATGAGCTGGTAGACTTGCATGCTAGAGCTTATTAGTCAGTGATAGATTGGCCTGATATATGTGATGCTTTGTAGTCTTGGGAGTATTGGATGATATGTTGTAATGGAAGTATCTATTGGTATCAGGAATTGCTAAGTGTATGCTTTAAAAAAATTGTATACGGTTAGGATCTTATAGCCCTAGAATAACTGATTTGGCCTTATTTCCCGTTCCTTGTTTGGTTGTGGTTCTAGGGTAGAGTCTTTTATTTAACAGTCTATTTGATCCTGTTATGTGTATAATTTGCATGCATAAGGCAACCGGTAGTAAGGGTGGAAATTCTAGCATGAGTTGTGGTATGTGGGTTGAATGTCCTATGACCGTTTAATGGAATGGTGTGTTACTACACGAATGTTGCTTGCTTTGTGTTTTGTGGAACTCTTAAGTAATGAGAGTTAGCTACTAAGTGAATATGAATGTATTCAGGAGGTGGGTGACTGGAATTATGGGGAGTTCTTCAGCAGCTGATGGCAAGGTGAGGTCGGGAACCTAGGAGAGCCTAGGAAGTTCTTCAGTGGGTGTTGTTGCGCCGTTTAGTGAGTTTTGGGTGCATCGGTTTGAGAAGGCGACTTAGAGGATTCAAGATGATTCTTGAGGAAAGTATGGATAGGTATGGAAGGTAGTATTGGGCCCGTACTACTGAAAGCACAGGATCCATACTCGAATCGGGGAGAGACTTGGAGAATCTAATAAGCTTGTGGGAAGAGGATTCTTGGGTAGGTTCTGATCATTTGCATGTTGTATTTCAGTTTAGTGATTAGCACCTAGGAAGGAAGTTCTGGTTCTGGTTCTGCTCAGGTGCAGGTACTGAGCCGATTAGCGAGCAGATGCGGGAATTCATCTCGTCGGAGATTACTCGCGGTATTTTGGACCAGACTCCTATGATATTTGGTTCAGCTAAGGAGGAGATTCTGGAGATATTGGATGAGCACTTAGGCGCGATCCATGCTGAGGTTATGGCTATCGTTGGAGCTCGCACTCTAACATTCTGTGAGCGAGAAATCGATTTGGAGCACCTGGGGAAGAGGGGGCCAGATCAAATGCAGGAAAGGGAGGGTCCCAGGAAAATACCCAAGACTTAGGATCAACGATTAGGAGGCCAGCAGAACTGGGGTTAGTACGGAACGTGAGGAAAACTGCACGATGGAGCTTGTCGTTCCAGGTGGGTTGCTACAAGTGTAGCGGGATTCATCTTGTCAGCAGGGATTGTCCTTAGGAGGCAAGCCCGTTATGTTTTCTCTGCGACAAAGTGGGCCACAAGAGGGTCATCTGTCCGATGAGGAGGGGAGGAGCAGTGAGTGCACCTGCTCCGACTATTTTGCGGATCTATGATAGTCATGTGGGTAGGGCAAGAGCCCCAACAGAGAGGAGTCGGTCATTTCAGTGTCAGGGAGGAGAAGCTCATGCTCCAACATGTGATTTTGCGGGATGTTATCTTTTGTGTTCTATTTGGTTGTTATCAGTATTTATGTTGCTTGGAATTCTATATTGTTTTGGGTAAGCGTTATCTTTGGTTTAGTTCTCTGTTATTCTTGGGTTATATATTCGAAGAATTGTTATATGCCTTTTGCATGCTGTGATCATTAGTGGGTTATTGAGGGGTTGTATCTCGTGTAGGGGATTCCAATGTGTTCAGTTGTTATTATGGTTTTTGGTTCGAATCGGTTCAGGGTTATTGTGGGGAAGGCCTTTGGTCAGGATTCAGCGGGTTAGCTCTCTAGTAATCGTCAGGGTTCAGTGGTTTTAGTAATGGTTCGGTAGGAGCGGTAGTTGCCTATGGAAGAACTGTTGGGTTCAAACACTACCGTTGCTAGGAGAGAAGTGGTAGCAGGAATATGGTGGTGTCAATTGCATGAGTTGTTTAGTCATTGGATGTGTCAGGGGAATTGTAGATTCGAATGGATTGTAGACGACTAGAGTTCAGTGGTACTTTGAGAATGGAAACAGGGGTGAAGATTCGTCAGTTCAGGGCAAGGGTTACGGTTTTTAGTCACTAGCATAAGAACTCGGGGAATTGGTATGGTATCGTGGGAGGTGGTTTGGATTATCAGATTGGATAAGATTTCAGGAGCATTCTTCATGGTTTTAGGAGTTGGGCGATCGTTGAGTTTGGCTGGCAATGGAACGCTAGTATTGATTA